GCTTCACCATTCCTTACCAAGAAGGAAGATCCAGGCGTACCGACGATCGAGTGTACAATTGGACAAAGAATGTTCCACAACACCCTCTATGATATTGGATTGGGTGTCAACATAAAGTCCAAGGTAACATATGACTATTTGTTTGGTGAGCCTTTGTTTCCTACATATATGTAATTGCAGATGGCAGACCAAACAATCCGATTTCCAAAGGGAATAGCAAAAGACATCATGGTGAAAAAAACAAGATCACTATGTCCCTTCCGACTTCTTGATTCTTGACATGGGAGAAGAATATGAAGACGTACCTATCATCCTTAGAAGACCGTTCCTCAACACCACAAACATGATCATCTACATTGGATCAAGGCAAATCCATTTCCAATTCCTAGGACAAAAGATACGATGCTATTGCAATTGTTATACAACTTATGAATAGCCAAAGAAGATCTGCTCTAAGAGGAGACGTCGATCATTCCAATGCCGGAGGAATCAACTCCCAAAGAATGAAGAAGAAGGAGAAACTGTGAAGGATGAACTTACTATGCCGAAATCAAGCACACAACCTAAGCAGGTTTAGATGGAAAAGGTGGCATCATCATCAGAGTCACCATCACAAGAGGTACAACCATAGGGTTTCCATCTCCGGGACCGATTGATGCACCCATAGAATAAAGGACTTCTCCAGTCAAGTCCTGTTCGGAGGACTCAAATCACCGAACCCACAACAGGAAGGTAAAATCGGTAGTTATCCATATTTACTTTTTTGCATTGCATAAATTATTTTCACTTTTAGCATATTTACTTCTTCTGCATTAGTACCACATCTAGAAAATAAAATAAAAGGTTCATCATTGCATTATAAAATCCTAAGCCCCATGTGAATAATTTTTACGGTGTGTAAAAACCCACAAGAATATTTACTGTGGTGGCATAAAAAAATATACCATGCACACATTTAGTTATATTCCATTATATAATAAAATCCAAAAAAAATAGATAGACATCCTGCTGAAATACTATCATATCAAGAATATTTCTAGCCCCAAGAACAACTAACCCCTGGACGGCTAATCGTTAACCCTTTCATTCTAATCCATTCCATGAGTTTTGGTGTTCTTGTTGACATTTTGCAGGATGATGTACAAGATCAAGAGCGATGTCACTCGGTCGTCTTTATCTCTCCTTATCAGGACATCCAATGGCAAAACCGCTCTAAGAAAGATAACTTCAACATTCGACCATGCCAACAATCAGCTTGGGGGAAAGACATCCCTTGTGTATCTAGATAAGTATTTCTTTCCCTTTTGTTCTTAGTTATAGGTTTGCTTTATAAAAATAAAATGCATAACTAAAAACAAAATAAAAACTTATCTATATATAGTAGTAATGTGTGATCTAAAAATGAAAACCAAATAAATAAATGTGTGTCTAGTTTTTTTTAAGTTTGATTTTTAAGAGCTAAATAAAATAAAGAGGGCTCTGAAGATAATCTCTTAAATGGAAATGATGGATAGTTGCTCTGTTGTAATTCCTTTCGAGTACCTAGTTTTCAGCCTAAATTCTCCTGAGTTTTGGATAAGATTGTTTTGATATAAGAATTTACTCTGAACTTGAAACTCGTGGGTAGCATATGCTTGATCTAAGTCTAGGTAATTAACAGATATGATATTAGAAGGTTTGAGCTGTTGTTTATCTTGTTCCAAGTAATACTAAAGTTCTACAGATTTATCCTTTAAAAAACAAAAAATGCTACATGATGAGTTCCTATATGATAAAGGTTGAATTCCTACCAGAGCCATACATATTATTGAGGCTAGAAAAACTTCCACTCATATATGTTGCTTGTTCTGCAATGAGTTTTGTCAAGCTTTGTTGACCCTTATGAGAGGTTTGTCATGCTCTTAAAATCAAGATCACGTACACACCACCCACATATGCACTACTCCTATAATAGGGGTAGGCGCAAAAACCTGCCATTCCATTTAGATCCACCCAAAAATGTCTTACTCCTACACTGGGAGTAAACACCAAAAACATGCTTGATATGTTTTTCATCCACCAAATAAATGCTCCAAGTTTTTGTTACTATCCCTCAAAAGTTTTGTTATAGAAAAGAGGCATGGGCTCTGCAAAAGTTATTCATAAAAAACAAGAGAAAAAAAGTTGAGAAAAAATGGACAAGTGTCCGAGATATCTAAAGCAATGGATACTTAAATGTTCGCCTGAAAAAAAAGAGATGAATAAGATAGCCCATGTTTTCTTGCAAAAGTATTTCCAAGTTTTCAAAGAGAGATATGTTTTCAAGGAGCAAAGTAGAATTAGGCTAGCCACCATATATATCCACATCACATATCCACACACATGCACATCTTGATTTGATTGTATGACTTAAGTCTCTTTGGATCCGAGGTTTCACTTTACAACATATGTATTGCAAGTATGCTCTTTCATGTTATTTCCACTCCGATGAGCTCCACATAAGCCTTAGTTGTAGGAAAATAAAGGCATGGCATCTATATTGCCTTGGTGAGGATCCATAAATACCACATATATTGAGAGACATGAGAGTGTCATACAATGGAATCTCTGAGTTTTATTTTGAAAACTTATAAAAACTCTGGAAAATAGTTGAACAAAGAACTTGAGACATAGTGCTTGACTTGATCATTCTGTCTTTTAATTATTCAAGACCCAAGTGAAGGCTAAGAAGCCCCATGGTTGAAGGTAATATGGGTAAGTTTGAAAGTCAGATTGGTGTATTCTAATCCGAAGGTGAATTCTTGTTTGAACGCATGTGTACTTTTGAGGAATGAAAACATTGTAGCAACTCCTAATCTGTTGCTAAGTTTAGCATTGCTCAGGGACAAGCAAAGGTTAAGCTTGGGGGAGTTTGTTGACAGTGGTTAACACCCATCATAAACTATCAATATAACTTATATAATGCATGAAAATGATCACCAACATAGGTTTAGGGGTTTACACAAATAAATTCCATGAGTTTTGGTGAATCCGTGTTTTCAGCAGAGTTTATCCTAAAAACCGTCTGAGGACCTAATTGTCAGAATTAATCACGCTTGTCCACAATGAAACCAACTCCAGAAGACTCTAGAAGACACCAAAAGGCAACCCACCACAGCAGAGGGCAAGACACTGACCTGCAGGCCGACCAGCCTCCTGGCCCCACATGTCAGCCTTCCTTTCGAATGACGGTTCTCCACCGCCTTCCAGGTTCAATCTACGCCATTGCTTTAAGTCAGTTTGATCTGAGGGCTCAGCATTGATGGTTCCCCCTATATATATCAGCCCCTACCCCCTGGCATATCTCCTCCACAATCAACCGCTGATCAAGAAGAGAAAAACCTCAAATCTCCACAAATATTTAGGGCATAGCTAGCTAAGTTCGATCTAGAGAGAGGCAAGCTATCTGCTTGAATTCCTGATCTTGTCAAGAGTGTAGCTTGGTATAGCTTTTTGTTTCCTTTCTTATATCTTTCATATTTCATATGTTTGCAACAATTGATATGACATTAATCTTCATATTATTCATGTTCCTAGTTATTATGTTCATCGTCTACTTTGATTATATGCTTAGTATAGCTAGATTATCTTTATGTTCAAGCATAAGTTCGTATAGCGCTCGCTCTAAAGTACACGGGGTGAGTGGTTGACATTGTATAAGCGTGGTGCTTATACGTTGTTTATCTACGGATGCACCCTATATTCCGGGCCATGTGGTAGATCGCGAGTGTGACACTCTCGTTGAGTCCTTTGTAGTCCACTCCCCGAATATAGGACAATTAGGATCTAGTTGCGATGGAAGTCAGGCTCTATTCTTGATCTTCCTTAGTAATATCCCTTATGTGTAGATATAAAGTTAATCTTAGTCATGATTATTAAGTGTAATTGCACTAATCATAGTATGCTTGGACTTGTAATTAAGGATGACTTAGGAATTAGTTTCTCTATTGTATCTACTTAGCCATGCTAGTGCCATCTAAAGTAGTACTTTGAGTGTTCAATTATTAATTATCATTTATCATATCTTTATCGTATCTCTTCATTTACTCGTGTTATGAGTAGAAGATTGGTTATGGTTTATCTCTCCATCATAAGTATAAGTTATCAATATATTCCCTTTGCCCGTCCTTCCCTATGATAAAAATATAAATAACGATACCTAGAATACTCATGGGTGAAGTGCTACAATGGTATATTTTTTGTGCGCTTGCAGAACGCTTCATTTATATATTTGCATTATTTCTGACTCACAATATATACCAAAGTACTTCTTAGTGTCATTCTTGTAGTGATGCTAGGAAGTACCAACAACAACCTCAAAATACAATCCTCCAACAGTAGCTCTAGACACCAATTGTTAGAAATTAGCCCCCACAGCATCAAGCTGTCTGCTAATCTCCACGCGTGGAAGCGTCGATTGAATCTACTGAGACAGACATGCAAGATCATAGACGACACCAGAGGCACAATATTTGTTAATGAGGTTCAGCCGAAGCCTACATCCCCGGGGCATGACTACGGGCGCTCCTCGCCAATACCAGCAACATCAGCTGCAGGGACCCGGCAACGTGCCGCCGCCCTCCCATGAACCTGTCGTCATAGTTACAATAGCAGCCCTCCTCTCATATTTATGAGGATGCTGAGTTACAGAGTCCTACTCCAACTTTACACTATACTGCCAAATACAACTTAGAGTCATAGCGTAACTAAACTCGTACATAAATATCCGACACATATCTAACAAAATATACCAATAAAGTACAGTACAGCTATGGTTTCCAAACAATAACACATCACAATCTAGTTGTCCTTCTTGAGATTGATCACACTAAAAATTTATGTAGGATCACAACTGAATTCGCCTATATCCATACAAGCGGCGCATCAAGTTTGGTAGCTTTGGCTCTACTGACATAACAGCTGTAGCCTCAATTTCAGTAACTTGTGTAGTTGCCTCTGTTCTACGCTCCTTCCAAGACCTTCTAATCATGTGAAGTTGTTCTGCCACTTCCTTCATTGTTTGGTCTCTTATCCATGTCATCAACATTCGAGACCGTACACTTTAGTGCCAACCTCCCGATCTCTTGCAGGACATTGGTTTCTTCTTCGGCTGTTATAACCTTATCGAAGAACGCCTCCCCACTATTATCTGTTTGGTAAGCTTCGGTGAATCTTAAGACAATGTCATCTAAACAAATATTGTTGTCCCTACTAATGAGTGCAAATAGAACACCGCCAAACCCGTACAAGTCATTTTCCAGATTCTTCAACACTGACGTAAAGTGATTTGGGTAGTTGTTGAGTATGTTCTCAAGAAAATTGCGCGTAATTACACTATCCCTGGCAGTAATTTCAGTCTCCGTGATAAGCTTACATGCCCCTGAAAAATCTGTGAGCTTTGGCGAAAAGTTATTGTCTAGAAGTATACTTGATGCTGCAACATTACCATGTCCGATGATACCAGTAGTTGATGAATGGAGGTACTGTAATGCTTCTGCAGTCTTAATTGCAATCCCAATACGTTTGTCTAGGGGAAAATCTTCCTGGCTGCCTAAAATGTCCATGAGGCTACTCATATATCAATATCAGACTTTCAGCTTCCAAGCAACAACCCAAAAGTCTGATAATATTCTTGTGAACAATTTGAGACAAGATGATGCCTCCATTGATGAATGCCTTTTCTGAGTCTGCATAAAGAAATTTCCACACCACCACAGCTGTATTATCCTCAAGTGTTCCTTTAAAGAACTTAGCTGGTCCCCTTTCCTCGAGTAGAAAAGAGTAATTCTCTGTGACATCATTTATCTCCTCCTTTGTGAATCTTGTTACATTTCTTAGTTCTGATAGAATCTTATGATTGCTAGCATTTCTCTCGAGAAAGCTCGGACTCTTCTTGTACCATGAACAGAATGATTCCAAACTGGATTGGGGACGTCTGTTTTCTTGTCTAGTCCTCACCTTTCTTTTAAGCACGCGAAGGCGTTCTGCCACATCAGTCATTTTAAGACGTTCATTTCTATCCCGTCTGAGGCATTCATTTGCTAGTTTCACCATCTGTTGAAGAATCCCTATGTTGTTTTCGTTCGCTATTTCTGAATCAAATAGTCCCCTCAAATCCCTTGCCTTTGCCTCGGCAAAAGTTCCAACTAGGTAAACATCACCCTCCTTTGCCCTTTTTCTAGCTATTAGTTCCAAGAGAACTATTCCGAAACTATAGACATCACTCTTTGGGGTAAGACATCCTGTACGGAGATATTCAGGATCCATGTAATTCATGCTTCCAACTACCGTATTTGTGTACTGAGTGATGCCACCTGAAAGAAGCTTTGACAATCCAAGATCTGATACCTTGGCGGTAAAATTCTCATCTAGAAGGATATTGGCAGGCTTAATATCACCATGATAAATAAGGTCGCCACCACTCGATAAATGCATCGAATGCATGCAGATCAATGCTTCTGCACACCTATAGCAATACCCAATCTTGTATCCAGTGGGATGGGAATGTTCCTATTATTGTGGAGTATGTCATCAAGATTTCCATTGGAGATATACTCAGTTATCAACATTAGATTACTTTCACTAATACAATAGCCTATGAGCTTCACAATGTTCTTGTGATTCAGTTTACTATGAATCCTTACTTAGTTCCACAAACTCGTCCTTTAAATCTTTACGGATATATTTCTTCACTGCAACTAGATCATAGTCATCGGAAAGGACTCCTTTATACACTTTCCCAAAGCCACCTTCACCAATGCAAATACTATAGTTGTTAGTAATTCCTTTAAGCTCATCTTCCTCGAAATGATTCAAAGTTTGAACTGTCCCATGACTCGCATCCATGGATGAGGACTCCTTGCAGAAGCTTGTGGATATTCCACTCTAGGCCAACAATATATAGATCCCGCAGTCCGAGACTACAGTTGGGAATCTGATAAAAATAATGTGTTATTCATTTTCTAGGCATAGTTAGTTAATTAATAAATGCAACTTTATAGACTTCACTTAGTTCATATATTTAACAGCTCCTAACACTGAATAGTAACTTTGGATTTTTAGAGAAGGATATTCAAGATGACGGGTTATAGAAATCGGTAAAAATGTAAAGAAACAGAAAATGATACAACGTAACCAGGCCAACCAATACCCCATGGTTGCAAGAAACAGAAAAAAGAACTACCACTAAAATATGTTACTTCACGAAAAATATGCATGCATTTTCCATGAAATACAAACCCATAAGACCTCTCTATCTAGGCGTACTTTTCTAAGCATCATGTGCTCATATGCATGATCATGCATGGTTTTAGTGATTTAAAGGACAAGACAAACTATGGGGCTAACATTTGTGTTACGATGCTTCAGACATGTGCATATAGGTCCTAAGAATGCGACGAACAATAGTGATAAAAAATCCAAGCACAAATGGAATCGGAACATGCACTAAATCACATGAAAGAGCGAGGTCATTGGATCATAAAATGGAGTCCAGTACGTTGCATTGGGAAGACAAGGGTCACCGGATGATACAGTGATAAGAAGGCAAATCATCCGGTGATCATCAACAAGGATGACAGTGAAGAAAAGAAAGAAGTTTCAGTAAGCCTGGCAACAGTCGGAATCCACTTTGCATAGTGCCATAGGATGGTACGGTAATAGACCTGGGCTAGCTGGCGGATCATCCGATGAATGGACCAGTGTTAGTGGGCTAAGAAGCAACGGTTGGGAAGGGAGTATGCCGTACATCATGATATGATCAAACATCTCTAGAACCCCATGGATCTTTCCACTAGTACCGAAATAAGTTTTACAGACACCTCCTATTTCTTTTAAGAACGGTTTATTAGCAAACTGTTTGTAACTAATTAAAAACTAAAGTTAATATAAAAATTTGCTTTATGAGCCCATGATCATGCATGGTTTACTAGCAAACTGTTTGTAACTAAATATTTGCTAGTTAATACTCCCTCCATTCCAAATTATTAGTCACTTTGACTTTTTTGATGCATCCATTTTACTATGCATCTACATATAATAATATGTCTAGATATATATCAAAATAGATGAACCAAAAAAATCAAAGCGACTTATAATTTAGAACGGAGGAAGTATAATAAATAGATTTGTTAGAGTTGATATTGGCTTAGTCAAAACTGACCGAGTCTTCAAGAGCCTAACAGGTCTCACTAATTTGGACCCATGATTGGTGGTCCCAATAACTGACTAATAGGCACTACTACAGATTTGGACATCACTGCCGGCCTCATCACTGTCGGATTTATGAGAACCGGCAGTGATGTACCTTCACTGTCGGTTATGAGCTTGAAAATGAGAAAATGATTGGGCTTGGGCTAAAACCGGCAGTGAAGGACCACATCACTGCCGGTTTGTGGCTTGAACCGGCAGTGTTTTGGCGGCCACTTATCACTGCCGGTTCAAGCAAAGAGCCAACAGTGATTGGGATCTATCACTGTCGGTTCTAGCCAAGAACCGACGGTGATAAGCTTACAGCATAAAAAGACTGCAGTCGTCCTCTTCTTCCTCCTCTCTTCCATCCCGAGAACAGAGGCGCGCGTTTGGGCCCTTCCCTCCATTGTTGCGGCTGCTCTTCACCATGAAGCAAGCGCTTAGATTTTGAAGAATGGCTTGATCTTTTTGCTTTAAGGTTAGTAACAAACATCCACTCCTTTGATTTTGTTGCTTAATTAGCTTCGTTTTGATGGCTACATTGCTTGATTCTCATTCTAGTTCTTTCTCCATTCTAGATAGCACTTTTCCAATTGGACATTTGTGCAAGGCTCAAATTGTGATGAATCCATCGTCCAAAAGGTTGGTGTCTATGAACACATTTAAATTCCTAGCTAATTATTCTATGGTGGTCAAGATCATCATTGTTAGTATGTGATGCTATAATTAGTTCTTAGAAGTAGAGTAGAATAGTTGTTCTTCATTATTGTGCAATAATTATTTTTTACTACGATTTTCAATTTATAGGCCGGGGCTACAAATTTTAATTTTTCAATAATTAGTGTACAATAATGTTTTCCAAAAATGGTACTTTCGAGCTACAATTGTTGTTCATGAAGCTCGATTTCTTATTAATTCTTTGTAATTACAGTCTCAGTATTTTTTGTGTAGAGATGGATCGAGAGTGGATGTATCTGTCCCAAACGGACAAGCGGTATATGCATGACGTCAGCCAGTCTATCACCGATGCCAAAGCCCATGCTGGGAATGGGAACCCTGTCTTCTGCCCATGCAAAGATTACAAGAATTAAAGGAACTTTCGTCAAATTGAGTCTATACGATCACACTTGATTACCAGGAGTTTTATGCCAAACTATATGATGTGGACTATGCATAGCGAGGTTGGTGTAAATGTTCTGCAGGAAAACGATGATGATATGGACATGCCTGACGTAGCCATCCACGATGCTGACGAGGAACCCAGTGTCAACACAGAACCTATGGCCACAGTTAATAATCTATTTAGGAACACGCTAGCTGACGACACCGAGGATAACGATGGCATTTCTCAGCTGCTACGTATTGTAGAGATCGGATGTCTTAGTGAAAGACAGCTGAGAAAACTAGAGAAAATGAGACAAGATGGCAAAACACCATTGTATAGAAATTGTTCAATGAGCAAACTGGAAGCCGACAACATGTTGTTAGAGTTTAAATCGACAAACGGATTGAGCAATAAAGGCTTCGATCAGTTGTTAGGTATAATAAGGAAAATGCTCCCAGAAAAAAACAAGTTGCCAGAAAAGACATACTTGGCCAAGCAAATGATCTGCTCCATCGGCCTCGAGGTTGAAAAATCCACGCGTGTTCCAATGATTGCATATTGTACCGTGGAGAAAAAATACAAAGACTTGGATAAGTGCCCCAAGTTTGAAGCTCCACGGTACAAGGAAGGGCCGTCAGATGAGGGTACCAAGACCAGATGAGGTCCCGTAAATGTCGTTTGGTATTTCCCTATAGCTCCCCGGGTGCATAAGCTGTTTGCATGTGCAAAGTCAGCCAAGCTGTTGCACTGGCATGGCGAAGAGCGTAAGAAAGATACAATGATGAGGCACCCCGCCGATGAGTATGACTGGAGGACTATCAATACTATGTTCTATAAGGACATCGGTGGAGAGGTAAGGCATGTTTGGTTTGCTTTGAGCACAAATGGAATGAATCCTTTCGACCAGGTTAGAAGCAATCATAGCACCTGGCCAGTGACGCTCTGTATATACAACCTTCCACCTTGGGTCTGTATGAAGTTGTCATACATCCAGATGCCACTACTGATCCAAGGGCCAAGACAACCTGGGAATGACATCGATGTGTTTCTAGAACCAGTGATCGATGAACTAGTGGAGATGTTTGGGACGAGTACAAAAAGGAACATGTCATGATCAAGGGAGTACTTATCGCTACAATCACTGACCTGCCAGGTCAAGGTTCGTTGTTCGGAGAGAAGACAAAAGGCTATACTGGATGTGTCGAGTGCTTGGATGACACCGATGCGGTAAATCTACCAAATAACTCAAAGATAGTTTATATGGGACACCGTAGGTTCCTACCTAAGGATCACCCTTATCGTAGGAATAGAAAAGATTTCAACGGTACTATTGAGAAACACTTAGCTCCAAAATATCGAGACGGGCCTGCGATACTTCGAGAACTCAACAAACTGTAGGTTATCCTTGGGAAGGGGGACAATGTAGTAGCAGCACCTGATAGGAGTGTTTGGAAGAAAAAATTGGTTTTCTGGAAACTACCTTACTGGCTATTTCTGAGTGTACGTCACTGTCTTGATCCCATGCACATCACTAAAAATGTGTGCGCTAACACTCTTAACACCTTGATGGACACCGGAGAGACATCGAAGGATTCACTAGCCACACGCATGTACATGCAACACTTGGGAATCAGGAAGGAGCTGCATCCCATGGAGCTAGAGAATGGCCAGTTCGAACTTCCGGTTGCATCATGGACATTAAAGAAGGAAGAAAAGCATGCGCTTATTTCTTTCTTCAATGAACTCAAAGTCCCGATGGGCTACTGTGTGAACCCGAAGAGGCTAGTGAACATGAGAGAACTCAAGTTCAACTATGGCCCTATGAAGGCCCATGACTGTCATGTCATTATGACTTAGTTGCTCCCTATTGCCCTATGTGGTATCCTACCCCAAAGGTCCACGCCCCAATCATAAAGCTTTGCTCGTTCTTCAACGCGATCTCAAAAAAGGTCATTGATGTGTCCACGCTAGAGCAGCTGCAGCTCCAAAACTCTCGTTAGGCTTGAGATGCATTTCCTGCTGACTTACTTTGATATCTCAATGCATCTGCTCATTCATCTTGTTGACCAAATTAGAGCCCTTGGCCCAATGTACCTGCATCAGATGTTCCCTTTCGAAAGATTGATGAAAGTTTTCAGGAGGTATGTTAGGAACAGATTCAGGCTAGAAGGGGGCATGGTTGAAGGATGGTCAACGGAGGAGGCCATTGAGTTCTACACATATTATCTGGACATCAAAAGGGTCAGAGTTTTAAAATCTCATCACGAGGGAAGACTACGTGGCAAAGGAACGATCGGGGAAAAATCTGTTACAATAGACGACCCTGTTTCTTTCAGATAGGCATAGTTCGCTATTCTCCATCAAGCTGAGGGTGTGATGCCACACATTGACAAGCACAGGCAATCGCTGCAAACTCTATATCCGAGCAGGTCACAGGCTTGGCTGGATAAAAAACATAAGGAGGAATTTGTCAACTGGTTGCGCCGCCGCTTGCTTGGAATAAAGTTGGGTAATCAACTAGATGCCTTAGCCAAGGGACCTTCGAGTACAT